CAGACCTACCACCCAGGGTGTCCTCCGGTGTCCACGCAACACTCTTAAGCATCTTCTAGCTTGGCAATCAATAATCTTTACCGTATGGTCCCCACTACATAAACAAAAACAAAATGTAGTTTCAAGAAAACACATCTCTTGGCATAAACATATCATCCTTACAGTAAGCATCAACAAGGAAATTACAACTTACTGTGTAGAAGCCAGCGCCTTCCCATCAGGGCTAAATGCTGCTGCAATAGTTGACCTTGGGGGGAGGCAACAATGCACAATAATCTGCTGATAGAAGCTGCAATGATTCTAACTCTACCCTGAACCCAGTGAAGTAGTTTAAATTTAGAAAAGTAATGTCAAACGCCAAAACAGTACAATGAATTTAACCATCCAAAACTGAGTACTATTGCTAACATTTCCTACCAAGCATCAAGACAACATAAGCAAAACAATAAAACCCATGATTTACCATGAGACAAGACCTCGTCTTGAATCTGGCTCCTTTTCAAACCTTGACTCCAAGGAACTAGAACACTGCTTTGAAGCTTCTCTCCATCGTCTTTTGGACAAACACTTTTTTCGATGACAAACCTCTCTTCGCGACAATAGTCTGAACACATTGCTACCACAAACCAATTCATAAAACAAAACTAAATTAGTTACAGTTCTATCTAGGCCATAGAACAACAAATGGGTAGAAATAAGCAAATGCTACCCGCCATTATAAAAATTAACCCCGGCACAAGCCCAGATATGAATCTTGTAATCTTGTAATACTAAAACTATACAACCAATAAAAATTCTCTCTACAAGCTAAAGTGGCAGAAAGATACGTAAGAGAGAATATAAGCTAAACTAGCAAACCAAAATAGATAATGCGGAAATCACACAGCAGCTTAAGTCACTTTGTAAAGAAGGGATTTATGGTTAGTTTGAAATAATAAAAGCGCTCATTAAATCACCACCTTGTGAAACTAGCTAAAACTGTAAACAAGTGAACAAAGCAAACAGCTAAAAAAAAAAAAAAAAAAAAAAAAAAAAAAAAAAAAAAATTACATGAATTTGTTATAGAAATTTCACAAACAGCTGTATATCTAGACATTACCACCAAACGATGTCCCTCCCTGGCAAACATTAATGATCCCAGGCCCTAACATTTAGACAATATAAAAATAAAAACCAGAAAAATACAGTCTACAAACAACAACTATAACAAATTATATAAGCAACGCCTAACCTTACGGGTGCAACGTTTTGGAACCCAGCAAGTGGGAAATAATCACTTTATAGGTGCAGCGCTCGTTGGGGATGCAATTGGAGGAAACCGTGGTGGGCTTAGAAAGAATCAGGTTCGCTAATCTTTAAAGGAAAATTGGAGAGAGATTTTAGTGTTTGTATTTTGGAGAAACTGAGATTCAATTTGGGGTTTGTTTGAGGTACACTGAGAGTTGAAATTTTGGAGAAACTGAGATCGATTTGGGGTTTGTTTTAGGTAAATTGAGAATTAAAATTTTGAGCTTTGAGAGGTTTTTCTAATTTAGGGGAAGAAGAGAGTTTGACGTTGATTTTATTTTGGGAGAGAGATTAGATTTAAGGGCAACTGAAATTTTGGGTTTTTTTTTTTTAAAAAAAAATTATAATTTGGGGGGAATTGCGTGGCATTTTGTTGATGTGGCAGATGACATAGCAGTGCCACATCATTTCCCACGTCATGATGAGTGAGAGTGATGTGAGATGATGGTGTAAACTTAATATTACTGTTCCTTAAAATACCTTCATGTCTTATTTAGTAATTTCCATAAAGGATAAAACTGTAATTAAAAAGAAAAAAGTAATATGGGTCCAATAAGATAAAACAGGGAGGGCCAGTAGCATCACTCGTTGGAAAATTGGTAAGTTTTACCAATTCATGACTAAATTTATTATTATTATTATTATAAAATAAATTGAGAAAGTCTTAATAATTAATTTGATGAAAAATTGTACTCAAGGATTAAGATTTAATTTCAGCGGTACTTTGTTTATTTACTTACCTCAATTATTGATATTCTATGAAGGTATACATGTAATATTTATTGTGATATGGACAAAGTTTTATGGATTTATTAATCTTAAGTTAATTGAATGAATATTTTTTTAATTGAGTATTTAATTAAGAGTTTAAGATTGGTCCATTTTCTACTGATTTTGGGTTTTGTGCATTGGAACTTAAGTAAACCTGTCCATAAGTCTCAAATCCTACTCTAATTAAAAATGGGCCAATACATGGTCGGTTTGTAGTCCAAACAATGAATTAATTGATTTAATGGAAAAATCGATGTATGCTTTAATGGGTTTGGGCTTCCGTAGGCCTGAGCCCGGGTAATTTGATAGGCCCAATCGAGATATGCTACAGACTAGACAATTTTATTGCGAAATGGTTGTACTGTGCTTATAATTTTTGTTCATGATGTATAACGTCAATGATTTATGATCAACAAATTTAATAGCCAAATCTGTCTCGCCAAAAAATTTCAACCATTTCTATTCTCTATTTTAAATGAAAATTCTAAAAGTGGGTGATTACCCATTGTTTTGAGATTAATTACCATTTAAAACAATATACAAAATAAATCGTGTTTCAATATATTCCTGAATGGAACATCAAATTGGTGTAAAACACCCAAAATTTTTGCTTCAACCAAACACCAAAAGCCACACCAATTGGGTGTGATACCATTCATTAACACCAAAACATCTTTAATTTCCTTACTTTTGCTATTTAATTTTTTTAAAATTTGTATTTGTATTAATTTGATTATTATTTAATTAATATTTATAATAATTATATAACTAAAAAAATGATGAAAATTTTAAAACAAAACTTCATTAAAATGCAAATATTAAACTTCAATAACTCAAAATAAATTAACACTAACTTAAAAACACTTAAATTAAAAAAAAAATACAATATAAACTAGAATAACAGCTTAGTATTCCGGTAGATTAAATTACTATTAATATAAAATTTGACTTTTGAGTTGTTATTATTATTATTTTTTTGTGGTATTTTATATTCGATGTAATTTTTTTTGATATTAAATGTAATGTTTACTTGATTTAATAAATGCTTAATTTTATTAAATTAGTATGATTTTCAAAGTTGTTATTAGTAGTTAATTAATAAAATATATTATTCCTAATATTTAATTAATATATATAAATAATTAGTTAAATAAATTAATTGTTAAGAATTAATAGAAAGAAAAATAAAGGGAATATTCTAAAGAATATTCATTTTGATGTAATATTTTGTGTAATTGATTGAAAATGCAATAGTAAAATGGTATGAAAGTTGCACTAATTTAGTGTGCAAGTTGTACTAATTTGGTGTTAGTGATTGGAGATGGTCTTAGGGTTTAGGGTTTAGGGTTTAGAATAGCATCTTCAATGGTGCTGTTTATTTTGAAAAACATCTTTCATATAAATAAATAGCATCTTTATTAATTTTAAAATATAAAGAACACAATTTTTATTCAAATCCAATAAACTCTTTAAATTTAATAAAGATGCTATTTATTTTTAAGAAATAGACTTAATGGGAGAGAAAATTAATAAATAAAATGCATAGAAACTTGAAGTTTATTAATTAAAATTAGGATAGAGAGTAAAATTTGACTCTCTAAATGTGGAGAGTCAAACTCACTCTCTAATTTAAATTTTAAAGATAAAAAGTCTGTTGGACTCATGTTTTTATGGATAAACTCTTTATAATAAAGAGTTTTAGTCATATAAAAAGTCTTTTGGAGATGCTCTTAGGATGCTATTCTAAACTTCTAGTTATAGCAAATTAGATATAAAACACTCATTAACATGTGTGTGAAAGTATAATTGCCATCAATGTCTGAATTTGTATGATCTTTAACATAATTAATAGCCCTGGAGTTTCCTAATAGGCAAGACATCATATAAACTAGCTCACAAGATGTGATTCATATGGTTGTGATAAGTTGTACAACTGATTTAGGGTTTAGGGTATGAAAATACAATCTTACTTACCTACCTATGACTAACAGAATTTTAACGGAATCTTTATGGAATGATGGAAAGTGATTGATTTTATGAAGATCAAGGTAAGTTTGATTAAAAATGTAATACTCAACCTTCCATGATTATTTCAAAAGATCATAAGTGGTAATGATTTTCTCCTCTCATTTTACAACTTATTGTTCACCTTTATAAGTTTCAGGTTTACAATCGTTTAACGAGACATTTTGTCACTTGGTTTTCAAATATACAAAGTCTTTAGTTATATATGTTGCCCTAAGTATCAGAACTTACAGATTGATTGCCTTTTTTAAATTTCAAAATTTTTTTAAGTGATTATATTATACACGAGAATGGTGATACGTTGGATAAGAAAGGTTGCCAAATTTTTTTTATAGTTCTAAAGAAAACTTTGAAATCATCTATTTTGAGAGAATTACCTTAACTTTCAGTTAATATTCAAGTAGATGGTTAATTATTCAATATTTCACGAAAAATAAACCCCAAATCCTATCGGTATACAAATTTGTTAACATTAAGTAACCAATCCATTCTCCTAATTGTACTCCAAGATACATTTCACTAACTTTGCTCGGCCTTTAGCTAACCGAAGTTAAATGATAAGAAGAGAGATTAGATAAAAAAAAAAAAAAAAAAAATCAATTGCTCAAGGGTGATTTCTGATTAAATATTGTAAACTCGTCATGGCCTAAGGCATATAAATATTATAAAAGGTCAGGGTGGTTACTGAAAGATCGTAGCGACTGAAAGCCAGGTGGACAATCACTTTAAGAATGGACACATGTTACTTGACTCACTCATGGAAGAATTTTATATTAATTTTTTTAAAATAATGGTGTCGTTCGGGTTTCGCACGTGACAGTTCATAACACATGAATTGACTACAACTAACCGCTCGACCCCACACTTCCCCGGGCAAAAGGCCAAAAAGGATTCGCGTCTTCTTTGAGTCTTAACACGCCAATTATAATATTTTTGCTCATAAATCAAAACTTAAACCAGTTATTCCTAACAAACAAAAACCCTCAACTACAAGCTTCCGTGTAAATTTCTCGCGTTAATTTACTGACAATCTGGACAATCAACAATTTGACCATGTCTATCCGGTATAAGTTCCGGAGTTCAGTGAATTTCGACTCGGTCGACATCGGAGGTCGACCTTCGATTTCAGTTCGTGATCTCAAATCAAAGATTGTTCTAAGCAAGAAGCTCAATATATGCCAAGACTTCGATCTTGTCTTCTCTGATGCTCAAACTGGTCAAGGTCAGCTCTCTTTTTAATTTCATTCATTGTCTAGTTGATGGATTTTGATTAATATGTTCAAAAGAATCTTCAATATCAAGTTTAGATTGATTTCTTGTTGTGTCAAGTGGAATTCAAGATTTTATATGTTTTATTTTGCTTTATTTATGATTTTTCACATGTTGCTGAGGACCGAATTGATGCTCAAATGCGGATGTGGAAACAAATTTGTTTGTCAAGGTTTCAAGTAGATTTTATTCGTGAATTATTGGTGATAATTTTTCCTGTTAATTTTGTCCTTTGGTTATTTAATGCAGAGTATGTTGATGAAAATTTTCTAATTTCGAGTGGTTCAAGTGTGATTATCAAGAGAGTGCCTGCCGGATCAGTGCCATCAAATAGGTAAGGTTTCTCACCTTTTTGACATTTTCTCTTAAAAAGAAAATTACGGACCGTGAAATTTATTGGAATGCTTTATTGATTTAAGTATTGAAGATAGAATAGTTAGATATTAGTCTTCTTTGATATTTGCTACTTTACATTCTAAGGTAGTAAATTTTAACAAGGTAATTTTCTCACTAATATAGTTTTATTATGTTCAGGGCGCACAATGACTCATTCCCAACTTTTGGGACCAAAGACAAAGAACAAATTAAGAACCCTTGTACGGCAGTACGTGACGTACTTCTGTAACTTGCTTTGAATTGAAATCAATTGATGTCCTATTACTTGGCAAAAGACAAAAGAAAGGCTTGATATCATATGAATTATGGGGTTAAAGTATTTAGTTTTACATTTTTGTCAATGAGGATAGTCCTGCCTTGGACTGCTCAATTGTGCAACCTAGAAACTTGTGGGAGTTATTTTTTGTGTTGCTTGATATCATTATAAAATGTATAAAATGATGTTGCTTTTTGGTATAATGTGTTGTAAAAATATGTTTGCGCCTCATTTTTTTCCCCTTGAATTTTCTTTTTACTTATCTGCATTACTGATTATTTTACAGAATGTAGAAATCAATTTTGATGACTTTGGGGTTGATTTGTGTCCTGTTCCTGCGGTGACCTTATCTTGCTCCGATATTGACATTGTTAAAGAAACTTACATTGGTGGTGAGAGGAAAAACTTTGATGGCACAAGGTAATCTTCTTAACTTCTATTTTTGTTTCTGTAAAATATGTATGATTTCTTTTCGTTCTGAGGTTTTAATATTCCTTTTGTTGTATAGTTGGCCATTGAGATACTTTTTTGTTTTTGAATTTTTGTGTCTTTTTAATTCTTTTTGTCTATGCAGATGTCCTGGGTCACCCACTTTCAGATGTAAGAAACTTGGAGTGAATGACTTGACTGAGGCTATTCCAAAAGGTTTGTATGATATTTCCTTTGTCCTTAAAACAAAAAATTATGGTATAATTTCTGAACTTATGTTGCTGCTATTTTATTATCAGGTCCTGTGCATAGTGGAATTGAAGAGGATACATTGGAGACAAAATTAAAACCTAATGCTCAACAATGCATGAAACTGGAAAAGTAAGATTTGTGTATCATCGTTTCTGTTCACTCTTCTCTTGTCATCATTTGGCATAAAAAAATCTGATGGTTTCTCTTTTTTTTTTTTTTTTTTTGTTTTTTTTTTTTTTGGTGTGGTAATTTGTAGTGCGGCCATTGCCAATCCTCCAACCACGCAAAGCACTATTTTTCCATCAGAGCTTAAATGCTCTCTTTGCAACACATGGTTTAAGGAGGCTGTGATGATACCTTGCTGCCAACATAGTTTTTGTGAGAAATGTAAGTTCATGTCTGAATGCTTAGCTAGCTTTGCACTTCATAAATCAGTTTGTCTTTGTCTAAAATTCTTCATTGAAAACATTTGTTTCGGGGTATTTTCTTAAATGCCTAAATTTTCTGTATTATTGTAACATTTGACCAAAAAAAAAAAAAAGAAATTATATTTAAGCTTTTTATGGACTTGGTAAATTTAGATTCCTTACCATTTGTATCTAACATGGTCATAACTTGGCGGTGGATTTTATATGAAGGCATCCATTCAGTCCTTTTTGAGAAAGCAAGGTGTCCCATGTGTCTTTCTTCAAAATTCAAAGTACAAGATTTGCTACCAAATGTATCTCTTCGGCAAGCAATTGAGCATTTCCTCCAGTCCCAAATTCTAATCAGTGGAACAGAAAATGCTCTTCATGACTACGCTCCAGGTAGGAAAATTATATATTGTTCAAATCTTCCTATTCTTTAACTCAAGATTATGTATGATTATTATATAATAATAAAAAACAGATGGAGAATCTGGGATTCAAGCGAAAGACGTCTCTTATGCTGCGACTAATCTTCAAAGAGAACCTCAGTTGCCCGATTCTCTCTCTGCAACTGGGAGAGGGTCTAATCAAATTGTTGCAGAATCTGCTTATGACTCATTGTTAAGAAACAATGCATCAGTAGGTGGCATTGGTTCTTGTGTCAATCAGTTAGGTGGAGATAAATCATTAAAGTCATGCTTGTGGCCACACAAGACAAAACAGATAGATGGAGAAAGACCTGTGGACTTGGATGATTTTGCTGATTGCGAAGGTGAAAACCAGCCCATTCATGAAGAAGGTAACATGTCATGATGTTTATTAATTGCTTTTCTGCTTATTGGGTAAGTATGACATTATGCTGCAGTAGAGATATTAGGCTGCTAAAGCCAACCAGCGTATGATTGTAGATACTGCCCATGATATATTGTATTTATTTAAAACTTCGCTGTGTATTTTCCTTTCTATCACAAATTCTACTATCTATTTGCTTGGACTTTGTGAAATCGTTCTATTTGTCTCTTGTGTCATGCCAGTTGAATCCAGTGTCACGAAAAAGAGGGCATTGTCAATTAACACTTCAGGTAGAATCATCAACTTAGTTATTCACTTCAAACCTTATGCGGCATCATTTCTATATATATACCTTTTTAGTATTAACAATCAAAGTGCATTTTGCAGGTGTAGACAAGAGCTTTATGCAGAGTGGAAGACTTAAAAAGGTAATAACTTGAGTAACAAACATAAATCATGTGAACTTAATGTAACAACAATTGGAAAAAATTTATATGCATGCCATACCACTGGAACATAATGGCTTGATTTGCCATGGTTCAAATATTAGGGATGCTGACCTTGGGATTTATATAGACGAATGTTTAATGAATCTAGATGCCAACCCAGAACCTCTTTAATGTTCTTTTGCCAACAATAGGTGTTAATAATTTGTTCGTCTGGGGAGTTCGAAATTTTGTGATCATGAGCATCTGTTTTGGTTCAAGGACTTAGAGTTATTGTTGTTATTGTTATTTTTGTTGATGATGCACTATAGTCCATCGCCTTTTTCTTTTTGGCAACATTAAAATGTATTGCCTAGCTCCTTCTTGTCATTTATTTTTTCTGTTCGTTGCCTTCCTCTTGGTTTTATTTATACTTGTGCAAATTTACTAGGTTGATATTCACATTGATGCTTTCTTATTATCTTTTGATTTTAACATGTGTTTATATGGTGATAGACAATATGAAATTTGCTCTATTTTAAGTTTCTGACATGCATGGTTCAGCTGTGAGGCTTTAAACCCCTCCATCTCTTGAGTAAAAGAAAAATAAAACAAGAACTGGGAACTTATTCATCATTGTTTTTGCCTTTTTTCCTGTCCAACTTATATATGGCTGCCTTATTAAATCAGGGGAATCGAACCTGTTACATGTGTGGTTCTCCAGATCATTTTATAAGAGACTGCCCTGTTGCTTCAAGTCCAAATACTATGCTACAGACAGGTATCCACTGGGTCCCTTCCATTATTTGGTTGTTAGACATATATATACTGTTGGAGGGTTGTCTTTGATTTTCCTTTTTTGCCTTGGATTTCAGGAAATGGTAGTTTTCCACATGCTACGCATGGTTATGTATCACCTTACTGGAATGGACCTCCTTTGCCGCATGTCAGGCCCTTTGCAAACATTTATGGTAATCCTGGGATGATGCCCTTCAATCCAACTATGGTCCCTGCCCCACCTTTTGCTGGTCCTATGTATATGCCATGTATGTTTGGTGGTCCACCTGCCTATGGGTAAGTTGAATAATTAAATTCCCCCCCATTCCCCTCTTTTGTTTTTTAAGATTTCATATATTCTAGATTGAAAAAAATTTACTTCATTGATTGGCTGAAGAAATGAATTTTAATGTTGAATCATCTTGCAGTGGGTTTGGGAGGATGGGGGGAGCGACAGCTCCAATTGCAATTAATACAGAGCGCCATCTATTTCATTCAGAGATTTTGGATCATCAAGGTTATGAAAAGAAACGGAAGTTATCAAATGAGAACATGAGGTAAATCTCTTTGGATATTAAGCATCATCTGTTTGTATGGAGCATAAAATATAGATCTGTCCTTTGCTGTGTGAATATTTTTCCTTCCCTTTTACTTGTTTGGGGTGGGTGGTTTTTTAAATGTTACAAGATCAGAGAAATACTTCAAATTTTTGCACTTGTATTTTGATGTCTTATTTTAATGTTTGGGCTGGTATCTCTTTTTTCTTCATTCATCGAAACTTGATTTATGCTCTATCCTAATCATGTATATGTAGTCCCTGATGCCGTGTTTGATTTTACCGACATGAGCCAAATGTCCAATGCTATCTATTTAGTTCTGGTAACAAAAAATGTGCATAGGCAAACAAGATTTTTTTTAATTTTTTGGATGATGTATGTGGATCAGGCTATATGCTTCTTGTGAATTATCCTCTCCTAACAACTTTAGCCGTTTGGAGTTTTCATTGGCTTTCTTTTGACATTCTATTTCTCCACAAGGGGTCTTAAATAGGGGCACCTGTGATGCCACCCATGAAGGCCCATCCATCTTCTTTTCCAATAGAGAGCTTATCAATCATGGACACACAGTAAGATGCACACACAAACAGAAGGTGAAATAGTGCAGATTAAGATATATCAGAAAAGTAATGGTTCTTAAGCTCCACCCTTCATCACCTGAAAAAAAAAGGGCCTTTTAGGATTTCATTTTTAAGGGGAAGAGTCAGGGTTTGTAGGTGCCATTTCTGTTGTCCTTCAAAAGTAGGTGTTTGCTGGGTTTATTACTGAATTGCATTTTTATATTACTTGTACACTGATGCTCCTGTATTTTAAAAACTTCTCTATCTCCAGTGCACAGTCCTCGGATGATGATGATTATCATCACTTTAAGAAAAGGTGTCACTTCAGTGAGGCAGAAAGGTCAGATGACCGTCGATCTCGTATCAGTAGGGAAAGGAGTGTGAGCTACTCTGAGGAAAGCTTTATGCATAGGCCACACAAGAGACACTTACGTGACACTAATTTAGATAATGGCAAGTACCCTGTTGATGAGAAACATGAGAAAAATTCCCATTCCTCAATTTCTGGTAGAGAAAGGAGGCCACATCACTCAGAGAGAAGTTCAGAAGTTGAGAATATCCCCAGTAGCTCCAGCTGGCATGCTGATGTGAAGCATAAAAACCAGAGCAGAAACTCTAAAAAGCACAGTGAAAGAAGGGAGCAGTGTTGCAGTGATTCTAGTTGTGTTCGCCATCCAAGTAACAATGAGAAAAATTTTGAAAGAAAGAGACTGAGATCTGATGTTGAAAGACACAAACAGAAACATAGCAGCCACTCAGATTCTGGTTTGGAACCAAGTTATCCTGGTGATAAAAAAAAACTAAAAGAGAGAGATTTCAGTCATGTATCCAGGCATTCTAGGCTCAACTCAAGGTTTATGGATGATGAGTCGAGTCATGATAGGTGGCTGATGGTCAGGGGATCAGATGAGAATTGTGCTGAAGACTATTGTTATGAAAAAGGAAAAAGAATTACTAATCGAAACAACAGGCCTGATTTTTTGAGGTAAATGTGTACATGGAATCACATGTCTTAACTAAGGTTATCCATCTGAAATTCTTTTCATTCCAGTTAGGTATCTGTAGTAGCTTGGTTTATAAGTAGTACATTTTGTTGTCTTTTAACTGTCTAAAAGTGATGGCTTTGACACACTCCATTGGACAAATGCGAGCCTATTTCAGCTAATTTGAATTCTCTGTTGATTTTATTGATACAGATCTGGTTGAGTGATCGACTTTTCGACAGTAGCTTCCTGGACAATATTTTGTCTTTAATATTTGCTAACTAACCCTCTTTACTTTTTTAGCTTGAGCTGTGGAGGCTAGCAAACTAAGGTTTTAAGTTGAGGAGCAATGGTAAATTTATTATAGGTTTCAGACACATCATAACGTGCCGGAGTTCTTTTTGCAGAGATGGCGGACGCTGTTAAAGGTATGTTTCCCTTTCAAAAGAGAGAAAAAAAAAAAAAAAATTAAGTGAAAGATCCATTCTTTTTCCTCTTAATATATCAATCCCGTACTGCAGAACAAGCTGCACATTCATGCTATAACATGCCCCTGGATGTATGTTTGGCTTCCATGCTGGCCGAGTGTGATGCTTTTCTATTTAGCACCGAGGTGGATGGGCCGTTAGTAACATTAACATGTGTGAGCATTCTTGTTGTCATCCAAGTGTCAAAATAGTCACATCCATCTCCTCATTTCCTGGCCACCTGTGGTTGAGGTCCTGTTTTTTCGACCTTGAGCATTGTGTTGTCAAATATAACAATGCTGCATATTGCTTGCATTCATTTATCTCGAGCCTGATTTTTGTAAAATTCAGTCAGGTTCCTTTTCTTACCCTTGGTCTTGACTTGAAGTTCATTTTTCTCCGTGCATGTTTATTCACTGTTACATTGGTATTACGTAGTATAGCTGGTCTGTCCCAAAAAAAGAAAAAGAAATAATAATAAAATAAAGAGAGAACATGATAATAACAAAATTGCCTGTAAAATATGTACACATCAGCAGGCATTGATCTCTCTGCAAGCTTGTGTAAAAAGTTGAAAAATCTAATTTTTGGGTGGCTCAGACCAAATTGTTTGCGGTCACTTAGGCTTTGTAACTTGTTAGGTAACGGGTTTCAGTTTTTAAACCTAGTGTAATGCATTTGCATAGAAGAAACTTAAGTTGATGAGCATAAATAAGCAACCAAGTTTTAATGTTTATTTTCCATTATATTAGGCAGCCTGTGTCTTTTAAGTTTCGGTGAATATGTCTTGAGTCAACATCGTTATACAGTCAGATGGTCGTAGAACTTCTTCCTGTTGTCATGGCATTTATGCAATTATTATTAAGATAATTTCCTTGTGTACTAATATAAGGGTAAATGCTGTTAGTAATGTAATAATCCATCTCGCATACCGTTTTCCTTTCGATGCTCGGAATAAAGTGATTTCAGAAAAGATTACCAAATAATATATAGGTGGTTTTGTCCTGGTCAAGCAACTAAAGCTTGCCAATTAGAGTGGTTTTATTGCCTGATTAAGTTAAAACAATCTCCATTTTTCTGTTCTTTTTAATACTTTTTAATAATTAAGAATTGATTCTTAAATAAAATTATTAAATATCTATAAAATCTTCTTTCAACAAATACTTTTTTACATCTCAAGTATATTTAACAAAACCGTAACCTTTTGTATTCTTATTCAAACCCTATTTTGGAAAAATTGAAGATAATTACGCATTTATCCTTAATAATACTATATAATTAATCATGAATATTATTGTTCCATGTTTTTATTTTTAATTTCTTATCAACATTTAATTTTAGAATAAAGATAGGTTAGCAAACACTTTTTCATAAGTTTTTTTTTTACAAACTGCTCGTAATTAGTCAGTTGGCATTTGAGCAGTTAAGACCTATTGTCAGCTTATCAATTACAAACTGACACGTTGCGTCTATGAAAAAAAGTTAATGAGAATAGCTTGTGAGTGTAGTATTATTGTTAATTTTAGTACCTAAAGTGTGTTCTAGAAGGAAGCTCATAGACTGGAGTAACAAGCATTTGTAAAAGTAATATCGGGGTTCTAATCCATTGCATTGATGTGCTAGAAAGAATTACCTACGTAGAATAATTTTTTTACCCTTTTTTTCTTTAGAAGAAGATAGATAGCAAAAGAAAATTGGCTGAACATTTTCTGGTTTACTATAGTGGAACTTGTGTCTGTGAGGTTGACACCATTGGATAAATCACTCAGAGTCATAGTGGTAAGTCAAACGGTGTTTGCTGTATGGTTGAATGCTCTTTCGTTATGGCTAGGGATGAGCGCAGGCTGGGGACCCCATTCCCCGTCCTTGTCTTCGTTACCCACTCCCATGACCGTCCTCGACTCGTCCTCGTGGGTGAGGATTTTTCTCATGATTGCCCTCGGCCCGTGGGGATGGAATCACTCCCATCCTTGGTTCGGCCTGATAAATGGGGTTTCATCCCCTGAATGGCGATTTTTGCCCTATGTAGATCAAAACTTTTTGCATGTTCTCACGAGAATAATATTAAATTATTTTAATTGTGAGAAACTAGCACGTTGATAGATACTATATTTGACAATCCGACTATTTAATTTCGGTAGTTAATTCATTAAAAAGGCAGAATTTAAGGTAAGAAAATATAAAATCAACAATTTTTTGTAAAATCTAAATTAAGATTTAAAAAGTAATACGTAATTACCACTATAAATTAATTTAATTGTTACTAAGTTAGTGACACATTTTCTATATAGTATTAAATAGAGGAATTCAGACTCCCCATTCTAATGCTTTATGTTGGTGAGACATTGTAATGTTCTAATGAAATAGTCTCATCTCTTAAAATTCATAAAATAAATACTTGAAAGAAAATTTCGTTGATAATTGATATGAATATGGTGAATAGCAACAATTTCTTAGCAAAAATTGGAACATGCTTATGGATTTCAAAGCAATAAAATATAAACATTCTTTGGCTGTGACATAAAACTCATAATATACTCAAATTATCTATTGCGACATAAACTTCATAATATATTGGTTTAGTAAATTGTAATAATTTAATTTAATTTATTTTTGGGCTATGTATTATTATTTGTGAAATTCCTAAAGTAATAATACATATATTTAATTATTAGATTTCCTCGTTTAAATTATTTTTCTATAAATTTAATACAAACATTAAAAGGTATTATAAAAGTATATATCTTAAATTTAGATACATTATTTAAAATTATGATTTAAACTCTAACTTTTTATACAATTTAGAAAAAAAAAAAAAAAAACATAAAATTCTCAAAACAGTGGGGCGGGGTGGGGTTAGGGATTGCACTATCCCCTCCCCCAACCCGTCCCCAGGTGTGAGTATTTTTCTAAGGATCATCCTCGGTCTTATCTTTAAATTTTTTGGGGATTCTCTACCCCATTCGGACCGGGTTGAGGCAAACGCCCATTTCTAGTTATGGTAGTGATTTTGTGACACCTCCATCAATGCTTTATTTTTTAATCTTTTTAAAAATCTATCATTAAATAATTATGCATATAAAGTTATTTTATAATCTATTTAGGTCTAGGATAAATTAGTTTTACACTTAGATGAGCTTCGTATCTTCTTTAACGATAATCACTTATAAAATGAGTCTGTCAAACCCTCTTTGGTTGCCTGTTTAAGAAATAATCAAAACATTGGTACACTGACTTCAAAACATTTAACGATAATCACTTTTATAAATATGTTCTTTCCAAACATTGGTTTCAGAACATTGGTTTTCTTTCAAAGCTTTTCTTGTAATTTTCTTTTTTGCATAACATAACTTCTTCGTTACACTGACTTCCTTGTAAACATTTGAAACTAAGATTTTGGGAGTATTACGTTTATCAAAATTCTTTTGAAGGTCTTGAGGTTGACTAAACTGTTTGCCTTTTGACATTTGAATGTCTTGGTTTGAGGATTTTGTAATCCTATCAAATTTATTTATTGCATATATATGTTAGGAGATGTCTAGCGGAAAATATTGAGATAATAACCGAAGAATATAAATCATCACACAAAGAGACACAATAATTAATATGGTTTGACATAATCCATTTACATCCTCATATGAGAAAGAAATTCACTATAGTATCGTCAATATAGATATAAAGAGCACACACACCATAACCTAGTACCTAATCCAATACTAATTAATAGAGTAGAAACAAAATCTCAGTTTTTGCATTCAACCCTATGGTGTTTAAACAATTTTTGTAACTTTTAAAGGTATTAATTTTTTTGTTAGAATGACTAGTCTTTATGGAATGTACAAATAGGGATGGGCATGGGCTGGGGCCGAGGACCCCTGTCTCCGGCCTCTGCTCGAATGCCCAAGGGGATTCCCTGATCTCGGCCTGTAGCCCGTTCGAGGAATCCCCTAATAAAGTCCATTCCCCAAACGGGGAATTCGGGGATTCCCTGTTTGAGGGTTTTGTATCCTTATTATTATTTTCTCCAAATTATAATATATTATCAAAAAAGAAATTAAATCTATAAAGATTTATTGATTTATTATAATCAATCAAAATACCAAATGATATATTACACATATATAACATATATATTATGTATTAACATATGAGTATCGATAATAACATATTATGTATAATGTAAACATATATATGTTATACATTATACTTATATATCATATATATGTATAAATTGAATGTATAACTTTTATTTCATAACATTACATATTATATATATATATATATATATATATATATATAAATATATATATATATCTATATATATATATATATATTATTATATAATGATTTGTTATATTTAATCTAGTTTTATTTATTACTTATTTGGATATGGTTTCATAAAATACTTGCACGATTATAATTTTTTATTGTATAATATATGATTGATTTTCAAATATAGGTATATATGATTGATTTTTTAATTATTAAAATTATTATAGGTATATATATGGTAGAACCTCTCTATAGTGATACTCTATATATGAATAACCTTCATGTAGTCATAAAAAATTCTGGTCCTAATTTGGGCTAATTATAAATAAGAATAAATTTCACATTATAATAAGTTATAATTTTTCTAGATTACATCTTAAAGAACTTGCCTCCATATAGTAATAATTATATGTATATTGCAAAAAATATATGTTGTGTTACATTAAAAGTTTAAGATGAAATAAAATATTTATCTAAAGTTGTTTAGGACAATGATTTATACTTTAAAGTTGTTACCATATTTTTTATCTTGTGGGTACATAATAAGCCATCAACATTGACACTTTTTTATTGAAGCTAAAATATTTCTAGCTCTCAAGTATGTTTAGAGCTTCTTGGCATGGAATTTTTGGTATTTCTGTATTATCATTCTTAGGATTATCTTCTTCCTTTTCTTTTCTAATTTAAGTAATGACTTCTTCTTCAATTAAAAAATACACAATTTGTTGCTCATTTGGATAATTGAGGAAGACATTAATATCCATTTAAATATTATAGTGAAGTTGTCGAATCTGATCACTCAATTTTACAGTGACTAATACTACTAAAACATGATTTATTAAATAAGAAATCAAAACAATAATTCTTGTACCTATACCTCTATTAAATTATATCCTCCTTATAGTAATAAATTTAATTTGTCCTAACATTATGACTATAGGAGGTTCTATTGTATATATATACGGGCCAAGCTGAGAATTTCGGGGTGGGGACAAAACGAGGTCGGGTCAGGACAAGACCTATCCCGTTCCTGGCCCGTCCTTGAATTTTAGGACTAATTTTGGGCTTGATCTTGGCCTGAATCCTGAATGATTCGAGGAAACTCTGTCTTGTTTTAGCTGGGCCGGGGCGGGTCTTCGTGGGGCTGGGTTTTATGCCCATCCCTATGTACAAAGTTCTAAGAAAGGGAAAATAATTTTCTAAGTGAAGATACAAAATCAATTTTGTACATGAAGGTTGTTATTCAAAGTAGATGGTGATGGATTTATGAATATTTTATCCAATGGAAGATTATTATATAAATATTATTCTTCTAATTCTTAAATTGTAACAATTTACAAAAACATAAATGTATCGTTACCGATTAAGTGCAATGGATAACACGAAGCTTAATATCAACCATCCTAACATGAAATATCCTACCACTCTTGTTGGCCCCACGTCCTCTGGTTCCTGCGATTAATCAAATATAAAATAATATTAGTAATAATAATAATAATAATAATCATAATAATCATAATAATAATAATAACAATTAAGTTTTAACTTAGAAATTATGATACAGAGAGATAGATTATTGGATATTTTTAAATTTCATCACGACCTAATATTTTCGGAACTATTAAAAGCTTGTTGGATATTAGAAACCTTCTTGAAAAGGTTGTTTAATTTTGATAATTTTCAAAATCTTCCCATGTCCATGAAGATATTGTCGATTAAAATACAAATTCATAAAAAGAAAATCAATCATTCAGCATTTTTTTTTTAAAATTAGAAATAATTATTAAGTTATGTAGAGATGGTAAGATAAGGTGCATAAAATACCTGAGGTGGAGGTGTTCCTTTAGAGGTTGGTGTAATGTCCACCTCAAAAGGCCAAACATATCTATCTGGCTTTCCATTTCTCGCCAAGCTCCAATCATATAATCTTCTTTCTTCCTCAGATGATAAAATTGAGTACGATTCCTACGATTATCACATTTTAATCATCATCTCTACATAATAATTGGACTAACAAAAGTGCATGCAATGCGATTCGGATTCAGGACTGACTTTCAAAAGTTCCATTTTCTTAGCGACCTCCTCTTCTTCTAGCTCTTGACTCTTCATTTCTTCCACCTTGTTTTTATACGCAATCGTAACCTGCTCGTATGAACACCCTCTTTGAAGTCCAAGCGTAGCATAATGATCTACATCCGTAATTGCTGCATTCTAAAGCAAGACTTATCAATTAACTGTAAATCTTTAGGTTAATTAATTTAGTTGGAAGGATGAAGAAACTTGAAGATTGTTACCTATGCCACGAAGGGCCCGTTCCACATTGAGAGAAGAGATCAAAGATGAAGATCCTGTTGGAGCTTTAATGGATGTTTCGGGTTCTATTTCTGTTGAGCTAGTCTCATCTGATACACCACTACCAGAGTTTCTAACAACCAATTTACGCGGTTTTGTTGCAAAATGAAGGGAACATGAGAAGAAAGGGGCTGTGTTTGGGGTAAGAGTGTGGAAATTATTCTGGGAAATGTAGAGTGTTGCAGTGGTGGAGGATATAGCCATGGCAGGGGAGTGGAGGGGGGACTGACGGTTTTCTGTTATACGTGTTCATATTGGTATGGTTTTATTGTGAAGAGATAAGGTAAAAGGGCACCAGAGGAATGTTATCACATCAGAATTCTTAAGGTGCCAACTGCCAAGTCAGCCAAATCAAATCATAAGTCGAAAATTTACTTAAGTATTTCAATTCAAAATTTTAAATTATTAATAGCAACTTTAATTAACAATTAGATTTAATATTTAATATTAAACGTTTAAATTATTAAATAAAATCTAATCAACATTTAAATTTAACATAGAAAGAAATACATTTTATTGTTAGTCTTTTTCCGCGCAAATAAAAATGTTGTTGTAGTATGGTGGTCAGTATTCCCGCCTGTCACGCGGGCGACCCGGGTTCGATCCCCGGCAACGGCGATATTTTTATATATTTACAATATTTGTTGAAAAGACCTTTTTAACCCTTGAATTTTTAAATTTATTTTACCCCTGATTTTTTTCAGTATTTTCAGTAACTACAAAGACCTTCTTACCCTTGATTTTTTTTCAATAATTCAATAACTGCAGAGACCTTTTGTACCCTTTATTTTTTTGCAATATTTTCAACGTCTTCGAAGACCTTTGTACCCTTCAATTTTTTACAACATTTTCAATACCAACAAGACCCTTTTACCCATTATTTTTTTTCAGTATTTTCAATATTTTTCTGTAACTTTTTTAATAATTAATTATTATTAACAGTTAAAAAAGCGTTTTTGTCCTCACAAATCAAACCGAACCTATATTTTTCTTGGAAATTAAAAAACTTTCTTTCTTTATAACATTTAATAATTTCTAGCAGTTACTTATACAAAAATTACCTTAAAACAATAAAACCAAAAAGAAAAAGACATTTTTACCCTAAAAATGTCAAAGAAAGTAATGACTGATGCTATTGGCCCCAACATTTTATCTTAGTAGACGTCTCTTTCTTTTCTTTTATTTTCTTTTTTTATTTAATTACAATACTATCTTTCATAAACATTACTAAAAAGGTATGAATTTTTTTTATTAACTTTTCACATGTTAACCCTTGTTCTTGTTCTTGTTTTTTTGTTTTGGGTTTTGTTTTTTGTTTTTTTTTTTTTTTTTCTATTATGCAAGAGAAAGAGTTTTATTAGAAGCTTTTTATGTTGATAATTTTAATAACATATCTCTTAAAAGAAAGAAGTTTAAATCCTATAATGTTTCAAATTAGAAGCAAGAATTGTCTTCAAAAGGAGAAAATTATTGGAGAGAAACTTGTTTAGAAAAAGAAAAACTTACAACTTACAGTGAAATAAAATCCCAAGTAAAAAGGTTGATATTGGCGAGATAGAGATGAAGAATATATAATTGATAAGGAATAAGATTTGCAGGGGAAATATAATATAATATTGGAAATATGTGGAGTTTCTTTAGATATTTATGTCTACTTAAATTTAGAAATAGGGTCTAATAAGATAAAAAAAAAAAAAAAAACAAAGGACCCAATAGCACTTCCCAAAAGAAATATATCTTCATCTTTGAAAATATTTAATTTTTTGTTTTCTTTTGATGGCCGAGTGTGTCTGGGCTAGTTTACGTGCACCTCAACTAATCTCCTGAGACCCTGAAACTACGGGCCTAGTAACAGCTCTAATGGGCAATGGCTATCCTTATCAGCAACCGAGGACCCCAAGACCCTCAAACTACCAACTGGGTAAGAGTTCCAATGGACAGTGACTATCTTTATTAGCAATCAATGAAGAATTTGAACTCAAGATCTCTTGAGTAATATATACAAGAGTCTCTATCAAACCACTCAGTCATCTAGAGATAGTTAAAATATATTTAATTATTATTAACTGCAAAGGTGTGTTTACCCATAAAAATTAAACCAAAAAGATAAAAGATAATCTCTCTCAACTTATTATTTGTATCAATGGTTGTCTCCCCAAACTCCATCCCTAAATTCATCTTCTCCTCAAAATCTCAAACAAACTGATACTTTATTTGCTTTTATGATCACCAAATATACATTTAATTTAGGGTGTTTATATCATATATGATCTCTACTCTTTTTAGGACATGTAAACAATAGATAGTAATGCATGTGTATTGCAATCTTCTGTAAGGTTTAGCTAATTGGAAGCTTCATTCTGTATACTGTATTGTTTCTTGTCAAAGCCATAAAATAATAACAACGACCTATTTCTATATCTATATATTAATATAATCCTATGACACACCTTATTTGATTGACATGTAAGATTTTTTAAACTCTAGAATTGCTTCATTTTGACATGTTGGATGATTGTTCAACATGTGGTTGCATGTGACTGATGATGATGTGGAATATGTGGATGAGTAAGATTTTTGGCTACATGTGGCTTAATGTAATTGGTGTTTGATATTTTTTATTTTTAATGACAAATATTCCCTTGAACAATCGGTAGTAAATTGATCAAACTTGCTCAATAAAAGTTCAATTGATGAACATATTGAAGCATTGGAAACTAGATAGACAAGAATTTAATTTGATATATTATATGCAGAATTTGGATATCTGTAGACACTTCACATTCTAGTTGAAAAGATATAATATCAATCTCGGTTTTTACTAAACAGTCAGTAGTAAATTGACCATAACTTGTTCAATAAAAGTCCAATTAATGAACGGATTGAAGCATTGGAAACTAGACAGACATGGTTTTATTTTGATATATTATATGCTAAGTTTGGATAATTGTAGACCCTTTACATTTTGGTTGAAAAGATATAATATCAAATAGTGGCATCCCAAAGGTCTATTTCAAATAGAAAGATATATAGATTGATGTTTGGTGGATGTGTTTAATCCCTTCACATTCACAAATACAAACGCTTCACATTCACATTAAATATCTGTATATATTTATATGATACGATACGATACAATTCCATCACAAATACATACATATATGATATGATACAATTCCATCACACACACACACACACACATATATGTATGTATGTATGTATGTATGTATGTATGTATGTGTGTGTGTGTGTGTGTGTGTATGTATGTATGTATGTATGTATGTGTGTGTGTGTGTGTGTGTGTGTGTGTGTGTGTTCCAAAAGTTTTTCAAAATTCTATTGAGGTTTAAATTATTGCACTCCTCTTTAATCCTACAAATTTATTTATTTATTTATTTATTGTCTTGATCAGTTGGGTTTGCACAATGTTTGTCTATAATTGAAATTCATTTCTAATAGTTTTCCTTTTTCTATATATCATCTTATATCTTTTTTTTTTTTTTTTTTTTTTTTTATCAGGGGCAATTCATGATGTCTTTACAAAGCAGGCTTAATACCATTATGCCACGTGGACTTTGTGATGGAGAAGCTCAATATGATCGAACATGAAGAAATCATGGAAATGAAAGGTTGAAAGAGCTACTAGTTAAGGATGAAAGGTGTCATGTGTGGTTGCTCGCTTGGTTATTGCTAGGACAAAGACCCTTTTCAGATAGATAATATATAATATTATATATATCATTAGTATGCAAGCCATGAATGGTTTGTAATAAAATCTCTTTTGAACATATTTGGTAATTTACTTTTATGGATGGTATTATGATGATTATTGTTATGATATATGTTTTAAGTATTGTGTTGTGTTACCATGTCATTGTCAGTTGTGAAATTTGAATCGTATAATTGTATGCTGAACATTGACAATAATACTAACTATCAGGAAAATTTTATGCCGAACCATTCATCATAATTTATTTAATGATGTCAGATGCTAAACATCTTAATTTAGTTATGTTGTTCTTAAATTTATCTTCAAACTGTGTATCTTCTTTAATTTTGATTTAAGTTAGATGCCGAACCAAATGGTTCGACATTTGACTATCTCTTTTAGATGAATGTCAAACCATTCACCTTAATTTTGATTTAAGGGTGAACCTTGTGTCTGAATTTGCAGTGTTTGGCATCTTTGGATGAACCAAAACAAGCGAGAAAGAAACCTATTAGAGATGAAGTCAGATGTTGAACCAAATGGCTAGGCATCTGATGAATAGCTCAGCATCTAACTATTCAGTTTCTCGGTTTCCACTGAACAGTCAGTGGTAAATTGACCATAACTTGCTCAATAAAAGTCCAATTGATGAACGGATTGAAGCATTGGAAACTAGATAAACACGTCTTTAGTTTAATATATTATATAATGCCTTCAATATGGAATATGCCTTGCTGTCGAACCATCACATTCTGGTCGAAAAGATATGATATCAATCTTGGTTTCCACTAAATAGTCAGTAGTAAATTGATTATAACTTGCTCAATAAAAGTTTAATTGATGAACGAATTTAAGCATTGAAAACTAGATGGACATCTCTTTAATTTGATATATTATATATTGCCTTTGATATGGAATATGCCTTGTTGCCGAACTATTTGTTTGAATAAGTTAATAATAATTGAGGTTATAATAATCAACAGTAAATTGAACATAACTTGTTCAATAAAAGTCCAATTGATGAGTGGATTGAAACATTGGAAACTAGACAGACAAGGCTTTAATTTGATATATTATGTAACAACTACTATAAACTAATACAAGGCATGCATAATAACAATAGAAAATTGGGCCCAAAAACTTTCTTTTCATTATAAGTCATACGTTTTTTATACACAAAGAACGTCATTTACAAAAGTGCCATTTTAAAAGACAAAACAGGGGAAACAGTGTAGCTATTGCTCTTCGCTTGCCGACGTCCTCCGACTGCATCATCACCTAGATCCTGCATCCACAAAGGAAAATAACGGGGTGAGCCCAAAATGATGCTCAGTAAGTAAAACCCTCTATCTGTCTATCCCCATATGTATTACTCTTAATTCTTTCCTCACACTTTCTGTTGTTTCTTACTAAACGTCATGGCCTCATCTTACTGGAGGTACGGTCGGATGGCGTTCACACAACACCATCTCACTCTTCATGACTATCGGGTGGAATTCACACAGCA